AAAAGAAAATGAGTAAGAACATAATGTGAACATAAAAATGAAGCCTATTGTGCACTTGTAAATGAATGTTAAGCTCCCCATGTTACATGAGGGATGTTTGATTAATCAATAGATATTCCATGAGCTATGGCAATGGAAATAGAGACTTAGAGTCATTATCAATGGCAGCTTTGCTTATTTGCCTCAAGGCTATCATTTTTAGAAAAAAACTCACTATAGTGTAAATATTCACCCATTTATTTCACAAAAGATAAAATTCAGTATGTTACTGGCAAAACAAATTATAAAACATGGTAACTTTCAACCATATTCAATAACCACAAAAAAATTAACATGGAAAAGTTAAATGTATTCTGAGGAATACAGAGGTTAGATGCAGTAGTTACTTAGAAAATTTGACTAACCAAACTATCAAAACCCACCAGTTCATCATATAAAGGTCGATAAAATCACTTCGTACATACTTTTGTAATATACAACTGAAAATCACACAGTTCAAATTTTTATGCATATAAGCACACACATGAAATTTGTTAACTTATGATTCATCAAGTTGTTGAAAGCAACTCAGCCAAAGAATAGATCAAATATTCAAATTATTTGTAGTACTTTCCATCCAAAAAGACTACATATAAAAACCTTTCCAAGACAAAATGTCATAATTTTTTCTGAAAAACTATGTCCCAATGATCCTGTTATTAAAATCACCCAGTTTTTGAACGAATAATAATGTGGAAACAAAATCGTTTCTGAATGTTTTGTATAATACTGTAACATATCTACGTGATAATTATAAGGCAGAAAACTGTATAGGCAAGACACTAGCCAAAAATAAATAAATACAAAGTCACAGCCAATAGTTAAGACTTCTCTTATTCTTTTATCTGAATGGCAATGGAAGATGTTGACTCCTCATCTGGCACACAGCCAGGCAGCCCAACTGAGGACCAGGTATCCTAAGCAGCATCTTTACTGCCACATGAACTGCCCACCTACTTCTGAGTCTACAGCTTATTCTCAAAGGTTAAGACAAATTTCAGCCAATGACTATATCAAACACTGAGCACTCACATCTACAAAGCCTTCTAAGAGGTCTGCTAAGGAAACAGTGACATTCGCTCACTAATGGAACTTGAAACTCTCTCAGGGTAAAGACACAGAGAATAATCACAGTAAGGGCTGTTGTTGGGTGTTGAAGGCAAGCTGCCAGTAAAGACAGCCATGTCCCACTTTAGAGAACTTGGGTTCAGTTTATGGGCCCATCTCCTGGTTCTGGCTTCTTGAACAAGCAAACACTGGAAACTAGTAGCAATGGATTAAGCATCTGGATCCCTTGCCACCTGCATGAAAGACATGGACTGAGTTCCAAACTGAGCTTCAGTAGTCTCAGAAAATTGCACAAGTAGATTAGCTTTCAGAGAACTAAACCAAATAATGACTTCACTTTTTGCATGCCATTTCTCTCTCCCTGCCTCGTTCTTTTTCCACTTCTTTCTCCTTATCTTTCTCCACCTAATTATTTCTCAAGACTTTATGCTCATTTCACACGCATGTATAATGGAACAGTATTCACACATTAAAGTAAACTTTGTCTTTCACAACAATATTATGGAATTGGTGACCATTACGCTTACTTGTTATGTCAGTTGCCAAAAGACATCTATTCTTTCCCTAATTTTGCATAAAAACATACATAGTGCAACAAATATATTAAATATTTTGTTATTTCACTATCATTTATGGCTGTGGTCATTTCTGAAGAACATTAATTTTCTAATTATTATAGGTTGAATTATTCAATTAATGAAGGAAAGGTAAAGAGTATGATTGTAAAGAAAATGGAAAGCATATAATTTTAAAAACTAAAACAAAAATAACAAAGTAGGAAGGAGAGAGGGGACAAGAATAATGTAGAAAGCATATTTTAAAAATCATGCATGTGAAATATATGACACTTCTTAACTTTATGTATGTGAATAATACATTTTAAATGACCTGAGTAAAGAACAGTGTATTCACCGCAGAACATGAAAGAGACTATGCAAGTTTAAAGGAAATAAAGTTAATCCAAAAGGATGGAACAAAGAAGTGGTCAATGAAGAAAGTAACAGTTGAAATTATACAGGTAAAAAAGAGGAAACAAAGCAAGCTTCATCAAATGTGTAGATACTTCCAAAGTTTTATTTAATGTTCTAGGAAAGGCAGATTGACAGAGAGAAATGAACAGAGAACAAAAGATCTTCTATCCATGGTTTTGCTTCCTAAGAGGTACAATGACCAGAGCTGAGCTGATCTGAAGCTAGCAGCTAGGAGCTTCCTCACAGTCCTCTATGTGGGTGCAGAGTCCCAAGGCACTGGGACAACCTCCACTGCTTTTCTAGGCCACAAGTAGGGAACACACTTTCTATATATTTGAACACAAAGTCACACGTACTAAACAAATATTCAGTGCAAACTAACAGAAACCGTAAAAGACGAGAATCTAAATGATCATGTGTCCTTGGGTTGTTTTCTCATCTATAAAATCTGTAATGATAAAATCCAATTACAGTTATTAAATGGATTTCATACCTATATATACAAAATACTTTCAAGTACTTTGCCTAGTATAACAAGAATTTAAAAAAAAAGCTTCTTCATCTTTAAAAATTAACATGTATAAGTATTTAGAAAGTGGTGAGAAATGGTGAAGAAAACTGAATCTATAATGATCCTAGCTAATTCACTAATGAATCTTCACTTGAACTCTTGAAACCAAAACAAACAGAATGTCAGAAAGGGGAGGGACCTGACATTCAATATACCACTCTCTCATTCTATGCTCCTCTCAGACTGGCCTAACATCTACAAGTCTTCACTGTCTTCACTATAATAGCAATGGTAACACCAGTTAACATTGATTTCATGTTTGTCAGTGTCAAGCACTTGACAAACATCCCTGAATGCTGTCTCCACCTCCCTGTGACAGGCACTCCCAGTGGACAGCTACTGTCAACAGCTCCATCTCTGCTCTTCCTTCTAACTGCTCAAACTTACAGCCACTTCACTTCCTCATCATGCAGTTCCTCTGCAGCACAGACAACTAGTTCCCCGGATGACCCTTTCCTTAATTCCTACCAACACTGAGAATCACTTAATAGAACCCTCAATTTTAGAACTAGAAAGGGCTTTAGCTAGCTCTTTTTCCAATCCAATTTGTTTGACAATTGAGTAAAATGGTCCAGAGACCTTTCTGGCTCCTCTAGATAACAAGGGGCAATCCAATGTCCCAAAATGTAAATACATAGACATGAGCATATGCACCAAATTCTTCTAACCCTCTTATCCTCTTCTAGGCTATTTGTGAAGAAGAAAAATGCTAAAAGAAGACTGTGGGAACAATGGTGATACAACTTAGAATTTAAAGCTCACAATAAACATAATTCCATTATTGATGCAAATAAAATTGGCCAAATCTTTTACACACTACCTTTCATAAACTTAACTCCCCAGTGTTAACTCTCTGAATGAAATACACAATTTAAAGAAAAGATTAAAAAGGGCAATGAAACTTACCCAATTACTGTGGGTTTCTTTCTGAACAGAAGCAATCTAAAACAATATCATTGAAACGTTATTTTCTTAAATAAAAAGCATATCTATTGATAACATAGGAAGTAACTCACATGTTAAGAAACACTCCAAGAACACTTTGTGTCAGTAAACACAATTTTATGCAACTTTCCATGTATACACCATCTATTGTGTAAGTACACTTAAACACAGCTAAAATTTATATGATAAATATCTACTTTATTCTCGCTGGTCACTAATCAGCCACAACAGGAACTATCAATTAGCAGATAACAGACCTGGCTGAATATGACACCTTACCAATGATTTAAAATCTATTTTTATGTCTGCAATGTAATTCTGCTTTTCCAAAGAAACAGGAGACATGATGACTCTTAAAATTTCATATCTAATATTTTTTGAATCACTGAAATATGGAAGTGTCTGAAAACAGCATGTAACACCTGAAGAAAGATGTAAAACTAGCAAAGGAATCACTTTTCCCTTTCCATACAACATAAATTCACAGGAACAAGTAAACACGTGTACACACACATACGCACACACTTACCTCTTCCTGGTAATAACGAAATGTTCTTTGAAGTTCTTTTTCAAGATCATTGATTCTATTTCTATGAAGAACAAATAATTACTCCAATATTTATATGTAATCAAAATTGTAAGTCTTTATGCCCACTTAAAAAATACTAACATTAATTCTATTATTTATGCTAGCCCAAAACAAAGCTCAAGATTTCTACTATGTGCAGTATAGTGTATGTCTGTTTTAACATGAATGATGCTCACAGATTTACCCGTATATAGATATCTATAATCTTAACATAATCATAGGATAGTAATGAAATCCCCATAAAGTTCTGGTCACCTTAAAAATACTAGTAAAATGGAGCGGAACCATGAGACAATGGGCTGTACCTACTGCCTGTATCACAGTAATCCCATATTGGCAACTGTTCTATAGTCCAGCTGCTTCACATAAAATCCAACACCCAGACAATGTTCCTGGGAATGTGGAGGATGATAGCCTGATGCTTGGCACCCTTGTACCCATGAAGGAGAACAAGTGAAAGGTACTGGCTCCAGAATTCATGTTGGCTCAGCCAAGACTCTTACGGCCATTTAGAGAGTGAACCAGCAGATGGAAGCTTCACTGTCTCTCTTATTCTCTGTTATCATTTTGCCTTTTTCTCACACTCTAATTCTGCATTTCAAGTAAATAAATGATTCCAAAAATTTTTTGGTAAAAAGTAATGTTAACCTACCTAATATAAAAAGAAGTAACAAAACTATCCAAGGCAAAAACTAGATTTAATACAAAGAAACTTGAACTGACAAAAGTGCCCCACTTCTTTCTAGATGCTTTACCATTATTTTCTAGAAATGAGCTTTAGATATGCTTCATCCACAAGAGAAAAGGCATTGAATACCTATAGATCAAGATTTCTTTTCTTCTATAGTTACGATCTTCATCCACAAGTGACACATCAGTCTTTTGATCTATCTGGCAGTTTTCCTCGATCATCACGTACCTTAAAGCAAAAGTGAAAATTTATCATATATTCAAGGCATGTCATAAAGAATAGACTTCTATGTGTTTAACTGTACCAAAACTGGAGCCTCCCATAAAATATCCATAATTATCACTGCAAATACAACATGAAAACTAATATGGAAGCATTTCTGATATAGAATTAACATTACACACTCAAATTTCAAAGCAACACCTCTTAAAATAATCTTACATATACATACATATAATATTTATCCAGACTCCTATATAAAGCAGCATTATATTTGTTACACTGGAGTCAGCCACAATAAACTGTGTTCCAGTCATTTTAGATTGGTGGTTAATGATGTGGGAATCCCACATGTAGTTCCTCAGCCAGGCACAGCCATGGCTGTTGGAGCTATCTGAAGAATCAACCAGCAGATGCAAGGTCACTCTATCTCTCTCAAACAAAAGGAGAACTTAGTCAATAAATTTATCTGGAGAATAGATACAGATGTCTATATTAAAAAGCAGAATGTTGACTAGCAATTGTTGCCGAAGGACAGTACTACTGTAAAAATATGAGGGAAATTGATGGGAGGAAGACACGGAGCAAGGAAGCATAGGTGGAACAGGGAATCTGTGTCAAGAAAGTTCATAAAAATAAACACACAAAGAGAAAAAAAAGAAAAAAAATGAGTATAAGAAAGCTGCCAAAATTTAATTACAGAATGAATAAAAAAATGCTGTGATTTGTCTCGCTGATTTCATGAAATTATACCTGAAAATTGAAAGTTAATGATCGGAGTCTAGGAAGGTAGCCGACATAGCTAAGTGCATGCAGAAATACAGACAAAAATTGGAAGCGTAGAGAACAGCAAGAGCAGAATTGCTGGAAAAGGCATCTGAAACTCCCCGGAGCTGGCATGATCAAGGCAGGGGACAAGCAGACATCGAGAATTGCAAAAACAAAAACAAAAACAAAACTCCCAACACACCAAATGGCAACTTGAACTGGTGGAAGCAGGCACCATCTAGAGTAAACACTGTCGCAGACAAAGAAAAAAAAAATAAACAGAGGAACTGGTGAGTCACTTTTCGAAGGCTCATGTGGTGGAATCTGAGCCTATCCCCACCTGAAAGCTCTCTTGGACCTAATCACCCAAAACAGAGACTTGAGGCTCCTAGGGAATAAAGTTCTCTCTCAGAGACTAAGGCTTCTCTTGGCAACCCAGAGATGGGAGGGCAGATCCCAGGAGTAAACAAGAGTGGTGCTGTAACAAAGTCAACTGCCTGGCTGGTAGCAGTGGGTGTTTCAGAACAAAAGCACAAAGCCTGCTATCACTTGCCCATCTCAATTGAGAGAAGACACAGTGCCTTCGGAGCGTAGAAAGGCTAGCTGCTGATTACACACTGTGTGGCAGGAGCTGGACCACTCCCACTCAAGGCACCAATTTGGCATGCAGAGGCCACAAAAGCACAAGGCAGTGGGGGACCCTCGCCAGCTAGAACACTCTGAATAGCCACTCCACTGTCAGAACTATCTAATCTATAGGAGCCCCATATCTGCCCCACAGCAGGAAAGGTGAGTACCCAGGAGAGTGAAAGCACCTGTCACCCACAAGGTGGCAGCAGCCAACAAACATCCTGACCACCTAAACAGCTGACAGAAAAATAAGTGTTGTTTGACAGAGAACCACAGAAACAGATTACAGGGGAAAAAAAGGGAGGGAGGGGGTCAGGCAGTTCACATGGGGTACCTGGAGACCCTCAGGACAAAGGGAAGTGGCAGCAATGCTGGAGCAGTGTTGCAGTGAACAGCAATCCCTACCAGTGGCTGGTGAACAATACAGACCCCAGTGGACAGCCAAGGATCTAGTGGCAGCCATGGCTTGACTCTTGTGGCAGCCAAGTAATACATCTTAGAAATCTGCACTAAGGAGATGAATCTGCCAACCAGAATTGCAATGTCAAGAGGTAAAAGAAGACACAGAGGCACTATGATTGTTACTGAAGACTCTCCAGCAAAGGAGGAAAAGCCTTAACCACCCTCAGAGTTAACTGAGGAAGGCCCTTTAAAAAATGGGAACATAGAATTCAGAGAACTCATTATAAAATTTCTTTTTGTTTTAAAGATTTATTTATTTTTATTACAAAGTCAGATAAACAGAGAGGAGGAGGAGAGACAGAGAGGAAGATCTTCCGTCCAATGATTCACTCCCCAAGTGACCACAACAGCAGTACTGTGCTGATCCAAAGCCGGGAACCAGGAACTTCTTCCGGGTATCCCACACTGGTGCAGGGTCCCAAAGCTCTGGGCCATCCTCCACTGCTTTCCCAGGCCACAAGCAGGGAGCTGGATGGGAAGTGGAACTGCCAGGATTAGAACCGGCGCTCATATGGGATCCAGTGTGTTCAAGGAGAGGATGTTAGCTGCTAGGCCACGCCCCCGGGCCCCATTATAAACTTTCTAAACAATGAGAAGCACAAGGAATTTAAGGAATATGTTAGAAAGTAAATAATAGCAATGAATCAAATGAAAGCAGATATATCAGAAATTAAGTACACAGTGGAGCAAATTAAAAGTACAATGAAGACTCTCAAAAAATAGAATGAAGCAGAAGAAAGAACTTCAGAATTGGAAGATATTTCCTGTCAACAGGAGGAAACAATCAAAAAGCTGGAAGCAGAGCAAGGTCAAACTAAAAGAAAAAAAATTAAAAAATAAAGTATCCAAGAATTAAAAGATACGGCTAAAAGACCCAACCTAAGAGTTATGGAAGTTCCAGAAGGTGCAGAAAGAGAAGCTGGGATTAAAGATGTATTCAAAGAAATAATAAATGAGAAGTTCCCAAAGCTGGAAAAGAATTGGGAAACAATATACAGGAGGGTCATAAAACTCCCAACAGAGTTGATCAAAAGCGAACCTCACCACGACACATGTAACCAAGCTCTCTTCAGTTGGGCATAAGAAAAGATCCTTAAATGACCACGTAAAAAAAAAAATTGAATGATCTATAGAGGAACCCCAGACTCACAGTTGACCTCTCAGAGGAAACACTAAATGCCAGAAGAGAATTGAGTGACTTATTCCAGATTCAAAAAGGGAAACATTTTCAGCCCAGAGTACCGTATCCTGAAAATCTCTCCTTTGTCTTTGAAAATGAAACAAAATTATTCCACAGCAAAGATAAATCCAAGAAACTGCTTTCTAGACTTGCCTTGCAAATGATATGAAAGATGTTCTCGTGAAAGCAAAAAGGAATAGCAACTACCAAAACCAAAGGCAAATCTGGAGAACATCCCACTAAAAGACTAGCAGAAGACTAAATCAAATAACAACCCATTGCTAAAATGACAGAACCAAACTGCAACCTATCCATATTAACACTGAATGTAAATGGCTTAAACTTATCAATCAAACATTATAAATCAGAGGACTAGATCAAAAGACAAACTCCATCTATCTGTTGCTTGCAGGAGACACATCTCACCAACAAAGATCAGAGGAAACTGAAAGGGAAAAGATGGAAAAGATATTCCAAGCAAATGGTAAAGAAAAACGTGTGGGTGAAGCTGTTCTTACATCAGATGACATATACTTTGATGTGAAAAGCATCACTTACCAAAACTCAGTCCGGAGGCAACTGCAGAATTAAATAAACCCATAACCGAGGTAGAGATTGAAACAGTCATCAAGGATCTCCCAACGAAAAAAAGCCCAGGCCCAGACGGCTTCACTACAGAATTCTACAAAACATTCCGAACAGAACTAACCCCAATCCTCTACAAGCTCTTCAAAACAATAGAGGAGGAAGCAACCCTCCCAAACTCATTCTATGAAGCCAACATCACCTTAATCCCAAAACCGGACAGAGAACCATCAGAGAAGGAAAACTACAGACCTATTTCTCTGATGAACATTGATGCTAAAATTCTCAACAAAATCCTAGCCAATAGAATTCAAAAAATCATCAGACAGATCATTCATCTGGATCAAGTAGGATTCATCCCTGGAATGCAGGGATGGTTCAACATTTGGAAATCCATAAATGTTATAAACCATATCCAAAAACTGCAAAACAAGAACCACATAATAGTTTCAATAGATGCAGAAAAAGCTTTCGACAAAATCCAACACCTCTTCATGCTAAAAACTCTAGCCAAAGTAGGCATAGATGGGAAAATCCACAACATAATCAAAGCAATTTACGAAAAACCCAACGCCAGTATCATACTGAATGGAGAAAAGCTAGAACCCTTCCCACTGCGATCTGGAACAAGACAAGGGTGCCCGCTATCACCACTGCTATTCAACATAGTCCTAGAGGTACTTGCAGAGGCCATAAGACAAGAAAAAGAAATCAAAGGCATACGTATAGGAAACGAAGAAGTCAAGCTTTCACTATATGCAGATGACATAATCCTATACATAGAAAAACCAGGAGACTCAATACAGAAACTGCTAGAACTTATACGAGAGTTTGGCAGAGTGGCGGGGTACAAAATTAACGAACGAAAATCAACAGCCATAGTGTACGCAAATAACACCAAGATGGAAGAAGATCTAACCAACAGGATACCATTCAAAATAGCTGAGAGAAGTATGAAGTATTTGGGAATAAATCTAACCAAAAGTGTAGGAGACCTATTCGAAGAAAACTACAAACTATTTAAAAAGGAAATTGAACAAAACCTCAAAAGATGGAATAACATCCCGTGCTCCTGGATAGGCAAAATCAATATCATTGAAATGTCTATACTACCACAAGCAATATACATTTTCAATGCAATTCCAATCAAATTGCCCAAAACATTCTTCACGGAACTGGATACAATGATTCAAAAGTTCATCTGGAAACACAAAAAACCACGAATAGCTAGAACCATCCTGAAGAATAAGAAGATAGCAGGGGGAATCACAATCCCGGACCTCTGGACATACTATAGAGCAGTGATTATCAAAACAGTCTGGTACTGGCACAAAGACAGAAAGGAAGATCAATGGAATAGAATAGAAGCTCCAAAAGGGAACCCACACAAATACAACCAATTAATCTTTGACAAAAAGACCAAT